TCTATGGAGGAGAGAATGAGCCAAAAGGAAAAGTCTAGTCAAAATGCAAGTGTGATAGCAAGTCAAAGTCAAAGTTAAGGATCCAAAGAAGTGGAGAAGCTTAGTAGGAAATTTTGGACTGTCACTTGTGGCAAATGCAAACAAAAGGGACACAACTCAAGGACCTGTAAAGGTCAAGGTGCAGGTCAACAGGAGACTGGAGGGGCTAATGAAGGTCACGGTCAAGAGTAGTTGGTATGGTCAAGTGTAGTATTATGTTCTGAAATCATCTTTTGGTCTAATTTGTTTAAGATACTGGAATATGTTGGTTGTTTTAACTGTGGTTAGTAGTTATGTTAAGTTATTTTGTAATTCCAAAACTCATATGTGGTTGCTTCTTTTTGGTTACACTTAGATATTGTAATGGTAATTGCTTTTGGTTATGTGCTATGGTATTGTAATTTTCATTGAATTCCATGTTCTTATTTGGATTATATGTTCTGATTCAATAACACTTAACAAGTTCCATTATGGTATTATACTTTTCTTATTAGCATTTCCTGTATTGTATTACCATTACAGTCTTCACAACAACAAAAATTAAATAAGATAACATTCCATACATTATAAGTTGAGGTACAAGGTTCATGAAATGACCTTTACAGTATATATATAAGCCAATTCATCAAAAACAAGAAGATCCCAAAAAAACCCCATCACCATAGGTAGAATGTAACCCTAATCCCTAATTCCACATCTAGAAAACAAGAAAAAAAATCCAACTACAGCACAGGTAGAACTTCAATTTCCAAACTTCATCTTCTAAATTTTTCACTGCCATCTTCAGGTAAAACCTCAAATTCTGAATTTCATCTTCTAACTCTTTCATTGAAAGCTTCAAATTGTTCATGCTCTTCAGTAGACCAGTAATGATAACTTTTAGCACGATCACACATTGGTGGATCAAACCATCCAAGGAATCGACATTTTGAGTCCTTTCAAAGATAAAGCACACAAAATTAGGGCAAGAATAAGGTGCTTGATTACAACAATTAGAACACTACTTTACCTGTTGAGGGCATGAGTAGAAGCGTCGGTCTGGATTGAGTGGAGTCCACGACGTGCGCAACACATAATCGTTGCCACAGAAGCATACGATCGTCACCATTTTTCCAGAGATAGTCGTTGGGGAAGATGGGTTTCAAGTATGGGTTAAATAGAGAAATTCGATTGTAATTATGGTCCCCATAAATAAAAAGACAAAAATACCCTCGTATGCAGGGCACGTGCGGGAAGAAAATGGAATGCCTCTAACGACAGTTAGAGGCAGAGACCAAATCCACAACTCAAACATCAAATAAAGACGTTTTTGCTAGCAATCGTTTTTTTGGACCTTACCCACAGAAATTGGTAAACTACAGGAACCAATTTTGTAATTTTGTCATTTAATAATAATAAATTATACTTTTATGCTATATATTAAATTGATATTAATTAATCATAAATCTAAAACTTAATCTTTATGTGTAATATTTATACAAAAGTGTGTTATAAATATAATTTATTTTTATTTAACGTTTTAATAAAATGATATTAATTCAAATTAATATTATTAATATATAAATAATTTACTTAGTTATGAATTTGTAATAGTATATGTTATAAAGATTTTACAACAAAAAAGTTTTAATAAGCTAATAAATTGAAACATTTTTTTGACAATCTAATATAAAACTAAAGAAAAATACTATTATCTTTTATACAAAAGATAATATAGGTTGCTAATGAAATATTATTAACATTATTTTATATTATTTTAATATAACAGAAAATTTAGAAAACGATAGAACCAATATGTTACAATCACTAGTTATTGTAATCATTTAATGTTTCTTTCCTTAAAACATATGGAGTAGTATCTCTGATCTAACTTTGCCGGTGTTCCGAAAAAAAAAAAAGTAAATTATAGTTTTGGTGCTGGTGGTTTTGTCAAATTCAAACTTTTGGTTTGACCTTTAAAAAACTAACAAAATGCATCCTAAGGTTTAAAGAATTTATATTGCCCGTCCGTGGTCCATATAAAAAGACCACTTTGTCCTTTCTAATATTCTTTTTGTTTTTCTTTTGTGCATTTCTAATTTTTAATAATGTGAAAATAACAAAAGCACCACCCCGATCTCGCATGCCTCCCTTCTTCTTTCTTCTTTGTACACCTTCTTTGACCTTGCATTACCCGTTGACACCATAGCCGCCACTGCCCACCACCAACCATCCCTACATCTGCTAGAAACTCTCATATTTTGACAGTAGCAGACAGTCCGTCCGACACTGGTGCAGTTATTACTTGTTAGTTCTGCCACCGAGTTAAAAAAACAACTCCAATGATTTTTTAAATAACATATAATCAAACTTTATATTTCTTGACTTAGTTCCGAACAAAACTTAGATGGCAGAAGAGACATATAGATATAGATGCTTGAATTTTGGTGAAGGAATAACCATTCTTACAAAAAAGCTTTTTACTATCCGTTTTTTTATATATATATATATATATATATATATATATATATATATATATATATATATATATGAGTTAAGTTCAAATGTGGATTGACATCTATTGTGTGGACGCATGGATAATGCTATTCTGTGAGAATTACAAAGAAAATATGTTGTTTGATAATATGAATACGTTCAATCTTATATAATTATTTTAATTATTAAACATTTTCACTAATTAAATCGTCTATAAGGTTATTATACACTTTTTTTAATTATTCTCATTCTGTCAGAATGTTATCAAGATGTTTATTGAGTCGTATTATGTAAGAATTAAAATAAATAAAAAACGATGAATGAGAACAAAAATTAATTAGAATTTGTGAGAATCCATTAAAATAACAATAGTTCTGTGAGATTGAACGTATTCACATTAATAAACAACATATTCTCTTAGTAATTTTTTCATAAAATAGCATTATCCACACGTCCACACAATAATTGTCCATCCACATTATAACCTAGCCCATATATATATATATATATATATATATATATATATATATATATATATATATATATATATATATATAATTTGGTTGCTAGTAATTCTCTAATAGATGCTTGAATATGGGTGAAAGAAGAACCCTTCGTACATAAAAGCTATTTATTAACCATTTTCTTTTATATTTATATATATAATTTAGTTGTTAGTAATTTTCAAAAAATAAACCATAAATCGATATATGAAGACAATCACAAAGAACTATGTTGGCATATAAACAAACACCACGTATACATTGACATCAACCATCCCTAATCGATCCACACCAGGGTTAATATTCCCCTTTTGCATCTTAGAAAGGGAGATTGGGTGGCTTTACTTGTGTTAAATGATACAAACATGTTCAATTCTTTAATCACTTTCAACGCTTTGAAAGGAGATGCGTGTCTTCAATTCATTTTCAAAACCTAATTAACCTTCACAATTCAACATCCAATGTCTGTTAGCTACCAAACCGATTGATGGAGGGCTGGTGGCGCCGCGCCTATAATGTCGACGGGGAATGAAAGGTCAAGTAAGGGATGTAAAAAAGGAAAGACGAAAGGAGACGGATGGGGCGGGGGTGAGATTTTGTTATTTTCACATTATTAAAAAAATTAGAAATGCTTAAAAGAAAAACAAAAAAGACATTAGAAAGGATAAAATGCTTATAAAACCAAAGATGGCTAGCTAATTTGTTTAAACCACATGGATGCATTTGTTGATTTTTTAAAGATTAGACAAAAAGTGTGAATCTGACATAACCATAAGGACCAAAACTGCAACTTACTCGAAAAACAATCACAAAGGAATATTTTTAGCACCGATTCCTTAATCAACTTATTAAAGTTTTTCATCATCACTTTCATCAACCATCAAAATTCAAAATGATGTCGTTTGCCACAAAAGTACATAAGCTTACGTTCGAAAATGTTTTACAGCTGTCTACTTTATTACTCATTACTTCATGATTATAACATCTACTTTTTTTTTTTTACTGTTCCTTTCAAGATAAATAAACTCGATATCAATTACGATATTAAGACACCGTTAACATTTAAAATCCAAGGTGATAATTTTCACGTGTACTCGAAGCATAAGTGTCCCACATGAAAGCAACTCGACCTTTAGTTTTTTTGTCGATATTATTATATTAACAAACATAAAAGTGTACATCAAAACCGGACCACTCCCTCATTCCAAACAAACAACCATCCACTTTTCACGACAAATCCATTTCCCAAAAGATTAAAAATGATCGACACATGAATGGATGGAAAATTTTCACCATTCGGGTATGATTTCCCTTGGTCTATAAAAAAATATGTTGAATCCTTCAAATATTTATGCCTAAAACCTACATTGAAAATGCATACCATAACCATACAATAAGTTGCATTCTAGTGAGGAGAGTTTAATGGTTGAGATGCATAAGAATTACATACAAAAGGTCTATGATACAAACCTTGACACATCCACATGAAGGGCCTTGGGATGAATTTGATTCTCTCATGTGTGTGTTTGTTACACTGGACATGACAAAACATAACGACCTTATACTGTATTTGACATACACTTGGCATGCATTGAACTAAGATTTAAATTGATATCAACAAACGTTGCAGATACAGGTTGGCCCTAAAATGTTATTGGAGCAGGTGGAGGGTTTAAAGTTACAAGGTATATAATTAATTATAAAAGTACGAGTTGATAAACATTTGTACTAAAATATGTAATCAATTGTCTATTTTTCAACTTTATGATTCGCACCAAGAGTTATGAAAGAGGGATGATGTTTCGGGAACCAACACTAAGACTAACAAAATAAGAAGATGGAGTGAGGTTCATCTCATAAATAGCCACCAAAAAAGAAACAAACCTCTTTTTATGAAGTTGTGAGGATTGTCATTCTATATATGAAGTAAAGAAGCCATGTGAGCCACATTCACTTGATAGGAAAACAAAATAGACAACACAACTACTATCTAATTATCTACCCCACTCACACATGATATGCAAAATTGCTGATAGCAACACTACCTACTTTAACATAAAAACAAAATTTTAATTCCCCTACCCCTGTCTTTTCTCATCTCAACACTTCATGTTTATTTTTTTTGTTAACCATAGGTGAAATGGCATGTGATATATCCTACAACCTCGGATCATAAATGTGTGAATCAAATTTTATGAATTCAAAGGTGAATACACAAAAGAAATACCCTTTAACAATAAGAATGATTTTCTATATAAATTTAACCCTCCATGGAATTTCATCCTGATGTTGAACTGTTTGCTAGAGTAGCTTCACGCTCCTGACGCCTATGTTCTCTCTGTAACAATAGGATTGAAATTCATATATATAAAAAAAAAACATTTAAGTTCTCTTTTACTATTTGGATGAAAACTTAGAAAGCAATTGGAAACAAAGATAAGAAGAAGAAGTATACATACCCTTCGTTCCCAATAAGGGAGAAAGCAGACAAAATCATAGACAGGAGTGATTGTTGACACCAAAACAACATTCAGTCCAGTAAATAGCAAAAGTGCTGCCATAGGACGTGTTTTATGTGGCATCTTTATCTATCTATCTATCTTCAACCTTACTTACACCTCTGAAAAAAAACCATAAAACTATGGTCATAATTAATTTGGTTCCAAATGTCAATGTTATTTGATTTCTATGTGAGCTTCTAGCAGAAAATTCCACACTTTTCCCATTATCTAGTGATTCACTCGAACTGAAACACATGATAGGCCTTGATTGCATAAACTTCTTACTAAGTCGCGTTCATAGATGCTTTTGATTCTTTTGGTGAGATTCATATAATATGAAGAAATGTATGAATGCGGAAAATCCACGATAAGGACATTGGCTCAACTTGCTTGCTACTGCTAGTAATTTAGATTTGCATTCCAATCGATGATAACAGTGATAGAGATTCACTAGCATGATTTTAATTCTGGTCAATTGCTAGTTCATATATCTTCGGTCTAAAAACCTAATAAGAGTTTCTGGTTCACTTCCTAGAGCATAATTTCATAGCTTCTATTCTTCCCAACTATGTTTAGACCATTCAAAGACTCAAACAACATCTTACAAAATGGAAAAAGATCATAAATCGGTAAGTAAATCATATATAAAATGCTAGGGTTTAATCGTTGACATGTGTATAGTTTCAACATCGAAATAGATGCGACCGGTTTAAGGAAGAAGAAAGATGAGGCGACAGAAACGTTACCTGATACGAAGATGGGGCGAGCAGAGCAGAGGTCCGACCGATGGTAGAGGCGAGGCGACGATTAGTCCGACCAAATGGTCTCGAGGTAGAGAAATATGACCTGATCCTTTTTCTTTTTTTGGGGTTTCTTTACGCCTTGTTCCCGAGTTTTTTCCGCAGTTCGAGAAATGAAAGAAAAATTTTAAGTTTTGTGTTTCCGAGTTAGGAAGAAAAAGAAAATAAAACTTCAAATTTTCCTTCTACTCACTTTTTTCCAAAAATCCTTCCCTTCCCCTCACTTTCCTTCCATTAATGAAACTCGGGAACACGGTTTTTTTTCGCCACCCCTCACTTTCCCTCCGTATCCTCCCATTTCTCTCCTTAAGTAGGACTCGGGAACAAGGCATTAGTGCTTTGGTTATTAAAAATTTCTAGTTTTTAAATTTTTTTAAGAAAAATAAAAAATTTAAAAAAGAAAAAAAAATTCCTTTTGTTCAATATTTTTTTTTTCATAAGAAAATAGAGTTTCTAAATTTATAAATTATATATTTGATTCCATACTTTTCTATTTCAAAACTTTGTTCTAAAATATAAAACTTACACAGTACACACTCCCATCATATCATATATTTTAATGTTGACAAAGCAATAACACAAAATGTTATTTTTGACTAAATAAATTAATAAAAATGTTATGCAAAATGTAAGAACATAAAGATTTTTTTGTAATTTTTTTTTATAATTATACGAGGACTATTTCTATAAATTTTACATTTCCTCTGTTATATATGGACTATTTTTATAATTTTGTCTATTTCATGCAAAATGCAAGGAACCAAGACCTTCTATAATTTACTACTAGTCGAAATCATTTTGTGATTGCTAATTAATAACATTTTAACATCTATGTGATTTTTTCTCGGAAGAACTGTATTTTGATGGTCCTTAAAAAACAATGGTGCTAAATGTCATGTAATATATTAAATATTTTATTATTTGAAATAACAAAAATAAGAAAATGAAAACAGATAGAAAATATACATTCAAATACGTTTTTTAATTTTAATCAAATGTGTTTCCAAATTTGTCTCCATTTATTTTTCTAAAAACTTTTACAAGAAAACTGAAAATAATTTTTTACAACAAAATACATCTTTTGATCTATTATTTCCCTTCCATTCTACTCGGAACACATAAAATGCATATTTCCCTTTTATTCTTTTCAAACTCGAAAAGATGAAATAAAATCTCTCTCTCTCTCTCTCTCTCTCTCTCTCTCTCTCTCTCTCTCTCTCTCTCTCTCTCTCTCTTTTCTTTGCTAAAATTCAGGATTAGGGATGAGCATATGGACCGGGGCGGCCGGAACCGGTCCCGGAACCGGAACCCGATGGAACCGGTCGGGCCGGGACCGGTACTATAATTTCGTCAATTTTTGGAACCGGGACCCGGTAAGAACCGGTCGTTGGAACCGGCCCAAAACCGGGAACCGGACCGGATAACTCACTCAAAATTTAAAAGTTGCATAACTCACTCAATTTAACTTTGTTTGACCTGAATCTTTTTCCTACATGTAGATTATGATTTGTAGTTAAGTTTAGACTATAAAAACGCTTTATTTGGTTAAAAATTGAATGAGTTACAAGCCCCGCAAAGAAGGATGTCAAATCAGAATTTTTTTATGTTTCAGCAATTAAATGTAATATGACTTTGTTGTTCAAATGTACATAACTCACTCAATTTAACTTTTTTTGACCTGAATCTTTTTCCTACATGTAGATTAGGATTTGTAGTTAAGTTTAGACTATAAAAACGATTGATTTGGTTAAAAATTGAATGAGTTATAAGCCCCGCAAAGAAGGGTGTCAAATCAGAATTTTTTTTTTATGTTTCAGCAATTAAATGTAATCTGACTTTGTTGTTCAAATGTGCATAACTCACTCAATTTAACTTGTTTTGACCTTAATCTTTTTCCTACATGTAGATTAGGATTTGTAGTTAAGTTTAGACTATAAAAACGTTTGATTTAGTTAGAAATTGAATGAGTTACAAGCCCCGCAAGGAAGGGTGTCAAATCAGAATTTCTTTATGTTACAACAATTAAACGTAATCTGACTTTGTTGTTCAAATGTGCGTAACTCACTTAATTTAAGTTTTTTTGACCTGAATATTTTTCCTACACGTAGTTTAGGTTTTGTAGTTAAGTTTAGACTATAAAAACACTTGATTTGGTTAAAAATTGAATGAGTTACAAGCCCCGCAAGGAAGCGTGTCAAATCATACAGGTTCCAAAACCGAAAACTGGCAAAAACCGGACCCAGAACCGGAACTGGTAGAACCAGAACCGGTAGAACCGCCGGGCCGGTTCGGTTCTTGATTTTGGCCGAAGCCGGTTCCCGGTTCGGGTCCGGGTCGGGCCGGTTCGGTCTGTTTGCTCATGCCTATTCAGGATGATTCGGCTAGGTAGGGTTCCTTTACCCTTCAAAGACACCGCTTTGTTCATTTCAAAGGTTGTATCAAATGCGTTGAATGCAAACCAATTCACAAAGATATGGTTGACCAATTCAAAGGTCTAACACTTAAGAATGGTTTCATTAAGAGGTTATCAAACAACCCATAAGTAAAAACACCACCTTGGACCCACTATTTAGATCATAAACTCAGTCAAATATTGCAGGAACTAAATATTACTAGATGCAAATCACATTAATGTTTAACAACCACAGGCACATGTAGCATGAAACATCCTAAACATACAAAACACTTTATCTCCCTTTTAAAAGAAGTCAACAAAACTAACAAATATACTAATATCTTTAAAAACACATAGTTCTAAAGGGTTGTAAATATAACAACCACCATGTTTCTTCCATAATAATCACAAAAACAATCCACTTTATTTTCTTGCTACTCCTACTTTAACACTAACAATATCACTGTCACCTATCTTTAAACAACCACACTTGAATTAAGAATTACAAAAAACAACTGTACATAAAAATTACACTCCCTTCACTTTTACAAATCACCTTCCTTCATTCTCACTCTTGTGGGCGAGCAAGCCAAAGTGTACTAAGAGCACGAAGCCGAGAAAAGTAATCATTAATTGCAAGCAGTGCACGTGCTGATTGCCGAGTCGTCAGTATTGTATGCATTTGTTGCAACGTCTTTTCCCTCAAATGATCCGCCTGGGAGTGGGACCCACCACAAACATAAAGTAAATCCTTACATTACTTTCAAAAGATACTGTTTCTTTTTTACTTAATAGACTAGTACTTTCTGTACTTGATGCAGAAAGTACGCCCTAATAGGGAAAGTTTTCCCTGTTAGGTCATTTTGCCTGTCAGTTTCTTAGATATTTTTAAACATTATTTTATTGTGGAAAAGAAGGTCTACCTGGCGGAGAAAATTTTCAAGTGAACCGAGTTTTCCCATGGCCATGGCCATTTGACCCATGTAGTTAGCCATACCCGAAGATCCAGCTGGCACAACGGGTGCATCACTAGCCAATGTTTGGGCTAGAGATTGCTGCAATGCATCCATTCCTTGTGATAGAGCTTCTTCTGCTTGAAGTGATGTTTGTTGTAAATGATCAATGCTTGCCAATTGTTGTTCTGTTAGTGGCTCCAAGTGACTCACAAGTAGCTGCATTGCCATTTGTGCAAAAAAAAAAAATTAAAAAAAAAAAAATTCGCGCTGATAAAATGTATAGAGATAATAATAAATGAAAGTACATTGCTATTTCTTGCCTTGAGTAATTCGGATGAACGGAAGCCACCAATCCATAGGAAACAACGTTCTGCAGGTGATGTCCACATTCCATAAATGATATGAAAAACATCGGCTTTTGCTGCAGTTCTTTTGAGCCTAAAAATACCATTGAAATGTGAGGTGGCATTTTCTACTAAAGAACGAAGCTCATTGTCACTTCTATGTGAAGTGACAGCTGTCCTTAGCTCACTTATATGTTTGCTTTGCTCTTCCAACCACCGAGAATATTCTGCTACAAATGCCAATGACCCTGTACAATCATATCATGTAACTGTCAATCAAGGAAAAAAAAGATAGAAAAAGTTATCTGAATACAAAGCAATTTTCACTGCTATGATTGGGTAGATTTTTCAAAGTATAAACTCCTAATAAGAAACAATTTCTTAATAAGAATTTTATTCGACTTTCATTTAACCCTTTTAGGTTATGAAAAGTAGATGCTAGTTCTTGTATGCACGTTATACGTATACAAGAAACTGAAAGATTTGTACATAACATTACCACCATTTGGTTGCGTTTGATCACTTGAATTAGAAATCACAACACCCTACAAAAGTAAAAAATAAAAAATAGAAAAAAAAAATCAAAAATTGGTGAAGATTTATCGAAATCACATAAGTCAATAGAAGCCGACTTAACGGGCTCAATACGAAATTACTTGATGAAAAAAGAACGACTTAATAGACAGTTGATCAAAAGAGGCTTTCCCATTAAGTCCTAACTTTTTTCAAAATTTGCTCACATTTGTTTTTTTCCTTCCACTTTCTCAAATATTCTTTAAGCATTATTTACAAATTTGCCCTCATACCTGCTTTCGAGCTCGTTGGACCTCTTGCTCTAGCTGAGTTAGCTTCAATCGACTATTTTCCAATTGTTGCACATATGCCTACACAGTAAAACACAAAAAGAAAAAGAAAAAAATATTTAATTTCACTTTAAGGTCTCCTTTTCATTCATGGTACCTTTTTTTTTTGTCAAAATTTAAACCAATTACTTGTAAATTATTTTACCTTTTTCCTCAACCTACTCTTTCTGGCTGCCTCACGATTCTGAGCTAGTCGCCTTAATGTCTATAAATTTAATACAAAAAGTTAGAAAAATATTAATAAAGAATAACATACAAAAAAAAAATTACCTTTTGTTCTGGAAATTTTTCTTTTTGTTTGTCACTAGAACCAGAAGCCATAAACGGATTAGATGGAACAATATCAAACTGCATTCAAGATAAAAAAAAAAAACATAAATCATAATTGAATTCCAATTTGAAAAAAATATAATATTTTTTTACGCTTTGATTGTTGTCATCAGGGTCCATTTCAGTGGAAGTATCTGTGTGTGGACTTCCATCTCCCATAATATTAGATTCTAACCAGGCCTCACGATTACTATTTTGCCCTTGTAACATCTGAAACACAACACTTATTGGAATTAGCATCAAACTCCATAACCAATATTAATAGCAATGTACTTTTATTTATTTGTGCATTGTAGCATCTTACTTTAATTTCTTTCTAGTTTCTATTACATCACTTTACTTCCATTTTTTATTTTATTATTAATACATTATACTTAGAAAAATCTATCAAAGTTACGTTATTTTCTTCTTATTATGGCATTACTACAATTGGGCAGATTGTGAAACAGGAAGAAATGAACATATGATGATGCTATAATAAAGAAACCAATAAAATGTATAATGTTGTTTCTTGCGTTTAACTCTTTTAATTTAAGAATTTATTTTAATTTTTTTCAGAATTATAACAGTAAATACAAAATTTAAACATAAAAGTGAAATCATATTGTCAAAACATCAAAAATCACCTTATCATATGTTCCAAATTGGAGATCAGGGTGGACAGATTGATTGATCAAAGCTGTGGAGTTGTAAACTGAAAAACAAGAAAACAATGGAAAAGTTTCAGAAGCAGATTCACTTCAAGAAAGCAACAAAAAAAAAACGAAAAAATAAATTAACTTTATAATTTATAAATTATAATTACCTCCACGAAATCCAAGTGAATGTTCAGGCGACCCGAAATTAGAAACTCGGGAGGATTGGCCAGCGTTACTCTCTACACCACTGATTACATATAAAAACATTCAACTCAATTACTCAATCACATGACAATATATTTGAAAAGTAACATATCAATCAAGATTATAATTGATGGAAAAAAAAAGATTGAAAAAAGGCGCTATCAAACGACTTACTTTAACCTTTCTTTTTTCACTTTCAATAGTTGGGTCTGATTTATAAAGATTAATCAAAAACTACCACAAACACTTGAATTATTTTACTAAGATTAGAAGCAAATAGAGAAGAGATTACTTTGAATTGGAGATGGGTATCTGAGAAACAAAGCTAGGCATCGAACCACCAACACTAGTATTAGCTTTTCCACCAACCTTCAAGCTTTTGCTACCCATAAATCATCATCTTGATAAAACAATCCACAGAGAACATTTTCCCAGAATTCAGAAAATAAAGGGATGACAAAAAAAACCCAATTCCACTCAATAAAGAACAGAAAAAATGAAACCTTTATGCTTTAAAGCATTAAAGAACAACACCCACAAGAATTAGACTTATTTTGATCCATAAAAACCTCAAAAGATACTAAATTTACTTCAAATCGATTACAGAACAAGTCTCAAGAACATTACCTCAATCCCCAGTTCAAAACGGAGACATAATTCGAAGCTTTCAGGAAGCAAAATGGATCTTGTTGACTTACGGGGTCATGTGCTATTTAAACCGAGCAGACTTTATTTATTTATTGAAATATGTATTTGTGTGAAAATCAAGCAGCCCCACTAACAATTTTTCAGCATCTTTCGTATTTTTGAATAAAATATGTTTGTTTTGTTAGCATTCGTCACACCCACCGATGCTTTCAATGTTTTAATATCACACTTCTTGGGTCCAAAATCAAGACACGTAGTATAAAAAGGGGTAATCATATAATAAACAAAACATTTACTTTATTAAGACAAAATTACAAAAATGGTCCCTGTGGTTTACCAAAAGTCACAAAGTCAGTCCCTATTAAATTTTTTTGATGCAAATGGTCCTTGTGGTTTGCGAAACTTGCAAAGTTGGCACTTTTTACTAACAGCGTTAGTAAAACGCCGTTAGGGACTAAATCTGTAAGGGCATTTTCGTCTTTTCAAGTATAGAAGGACTGAATTCGTGACATTTGAGAAACCACAGGGACCATTTTTGAAATTTGTTTGAAAAAATTTCAAGTATAGAAAGACTGAATTCGTGACATTTGAGAAACCACAGGGACCATTTTTGAAATTTGTTTGAAAAAATAAATTAATTTGCTGAAGGAAGGGGGAAGGCTCAAACTCACAACCTCCACCCCCTTTATTTGACCAAAACCTTAACCAATTGAGCTGATTGCTCACTTGGTTATAACACCCTAAAACTAATTTATATAATAACAAAAACGTTAATATTTAAATAATAAATAAATTACAAAAAACATTTTTTTTACATAACTTTTTTTTAAATAAAATAAAAAGTATTTTAGTTGTATTACAAAAAAACAAATAATTTGTATGTATTTTTATGTATTTATTTTACGTAAAATATATTTTTTTATTTCTTTAAAAAATAAGTTTTCGTATAAAAAATATGTTTTCGTATATTATATTTTTTTTTATTTCTTTGACATAATAATAATTAACACTACTCATGACATAAAAAAAATATATTAATTATTTTGGGTCGCTAGTTCTAAAATACGTATTTCATCTTTTTTTAAATACATATAACTGAAAAACGGTTTTCAGAAAACCGATTGGACCAATCAGTTTTCTGAAAACCGTTTTTCGGTTATATGTATTTAAAAAAAAACATAAAAAGTCTATTCGGTTATATATCTTATTTAAAATACGTATTTCATCTTAATTGCAAGTTCTAAATCGTATAATTGAAATGAAGATGAAAAGAAATAGTGATACATCTTTTTAAAATAACGATAATTAATATTACTCTTGAAATAAAAAACAAATCGTATAAATTGTTTAGATACATAACATAATCGTTGTTAAGTTGTTTTTAATACATATAACCGAAAAAACGGTTTTAGAAGTAGCGGCTCAACAGAATTTATATATTTTTTTATGTCATGAGTAGTGTTGATTATTATTATTTCAAAGACATAAAAAATATAATATACGAAAACATATTTTTTATATGAAAACTTATTTTTTAAAGAAATAAAAAAATATATTTTACGTAAAATAAATACATAAAAATACATACAAATTGTTTGTAAAAAACAATTTTTTTTGTAATACGACTAAAATACTTTTTCTTTTATTTAAAAAAAAAATTATGTAAAAAAAATGTTTTTTGTAATTTATTTATTATTTAAATATTAACGTTTTTGTTATTATATAAATTAGTTTTAGGGTGTTATAACCAAGTGAGCAATTAGCTCAATCGGTTAAGGTTTTGGTCAAATAAAGTGGGTGGAGGTTGTGAGTTCAAGCCTTCCCCCCTTCCTTCATCAAATTAACTTATTTTTTTACACAAATTTCAAAAATGGTCCCTGTGGTTTCTCAAATGTCACGAATTCAGTCCTTCTATACTTGAAAAGACGAAAATGCCCTTACAGATTTAGTCCCCAACGGTGTTAGTAAAAAGGGCCAACTTTGCAAGTTTTGCAAACCACAAGGACCATTTGCATAAAAAAAAATTAATAGGGACCGACTTTGTGACTTTTGGTAAACCATAGGGATCATTTTTGTGATTTTGTCCTTTATTAATTAATGTTTATTGTGATTTAGAATCATTAAAATTTATATTAGAATATTTTACATTGTTTTTTCAACTAGTTAAGGCTAAAACAGACAAATTTTGAAGAAAAAAACGATTGTTATTGGTGTAAAACTATATTCTTTAATCTAAATATAATTATGTTTTTAAGTTATACCGATAATTTTTAAAACAAGCATTTTATGAAAAATATCTTTTTGGAAAAGTATATTATAAACTCAAAATTATAAAGTGCTGTATTATATTTTAAAGAGCTTGGAGTATATTATATAACACTTGACCACTTTGGAAGTTGGAAGCAAGAGGGTGGAAAGTGAGGCTTATGACGTTTAGACCATTCAAAGTCTTTTGCAATTATTCAAAGGCACTAATTATTTTTTACTCTCTTTTCGTGTATAACTTTCTTTAATTATTCGGAATCATGCTTACGTATTTTGTTTTTTAAAAGTACAAAAACTTCATAAATGGTACATGTGGTTTTTAAAAAGATTGATATTAGTACTTAATTTTTTAGGTCATCAATGATGATCCTTGTGGTTTCAGAACTTTTAATAAATCGTCCTTATGGCTAAATCTGTCAATTTTTTCTGTTAAGTCCGAACATGTGTGAGAAATGTAAGGACAAAATCGTCATTTAACAACCACAAGGACTAAGTTTTCTCTTTTTAGAACTTGAGGGACCATTTCTGTCATATTGTAAATTAGCATGACTCTCCCAAAATCATTCTCAAATCTCACTTTGCTTGTTACCATCGACGTTAGTCCAAACGATTTCGTCGGAGAATTCCCGAAAGGTTTCGGAATAGGAGCAACCGGTAGTGCATCCGACAACAATTTTTTCGGGTTCTTCCCGGAGTATCTCGGAAACGCAACCTCACCCCTCTTACGATTCTCTTCCTGCTCTTTGTTTTCTCCACTTTCTCAGTTATCTTGTATTTGTATTGCAAGTGTAAAGTTGTATTGACTAGACATGAGAGTGTATTGACTGTAAAACTATTGGATTTATCTTGTTTGTGACGTAGGGTAAGTAACAAATGAGCTCTCTCCAACTCCAATATGGAACAACCACGTCTTAAACCGATCAAAGAATGATAATCTACATTCCATGTTTCCCCTGAAGCAGCCTTTGCTTCAGTTCTTGACTCTTGGACCCATAAAACAAAGTTTACCTGGAGTTTCACAAAACATAAGAAATCGTGCTTGGAAAATCAACACATACTCATACCATTTACGTTTGATACATTTGGTTTCCTCGCAACGTACACGGTGGAGCTTCTTAATAGAGTACAACAGATCATGCATAACAATGTTATATCCCCTAGATCTATAGATGTAGTTTTGAAAAAAATTAGTTTTATCATACAAAAAGGTTTAGCGGCGTAACTTGTTGCCCGTTTGCCTTCTTACTTTTTGTATTGTGATAACTAATTTTATGTGAAATGAAAAGTTCTAGTTTTCATGATTGATAATAATAATAATAAGATATCACACGTTTTGACGTTGTCACACCGGACCAGGTAGTTTCTGATCACGAAGTATTGAATTGTATAATTAGTTTGAACATTGATTGGAATCGCGACTTATGCAGTCTCCATTTTGTTGGTAAGCTAGTGATGCGAAGTTCAACACACATACTATAGAAATGGTCCTTCTAGTTCTAAAAAAGATAACTTCAAGAATGATTGGATTGAGATTGTGATCATCAAAACAAATCAAGGGAGGTTAGAAACCCAAACCCTAACCATTAGATGGAGCTCTTTTCGACATTTGGGCTTTCCCCAAACCGAGCAAGCTTTTGATTCTTCTTTCTTTTGCTTGAATGCTCAAATCTTGACTTGAATCAATTCTTATATGCACAAATGAAGAGAAATAACCATGGGAAACCCTTCTCCTTGCAATACATGATTTGGATGAACGAGGGGATGAGAGTGCATCTTATTTTCCAATGTTTACCATTTGGTCCCCCAAGTTTACCCCTTTTTACTAATTTCCACCATAACTCCTTTTTTGTGTTTTTAACTTAGGGTTTGACATAGGAAGTCCTCCTCCATCCATTATATAATTTTTGTAGTCCCTTCGATTAACTGATTCAACCCTTTGGTCAACTCACTTTGCCAATTCGACACTTTTGGCCCTTAAACTTTTAAAAATGTTATTATTTCCATTTCTAACTTTCTGAACTTCATATCAACTTATGTTATGATTATTCATTAATGGTTTAACTTTAAAAATCATTCTCATTTATTTTGTTTACCAATTTAAGAACTTAGTATTAAATTTTAGGATGGTATAATTGTACCCCTTTCTGATGCATCATCTTGCTAGAAAATAACCCTCTCTAACAAGCACTATAAATCATGCTTCTATCAATTTACAAGAAGTAACCCTTCTTGTTAACCATCTTATTAGAAAGTTCCCCTTCCTAATAAGGTTCCTTATAAGAATTAACCCTTCTTACAAATCCATATATATATATATATATATATATATATATAATATATATATATATATATATATATATAACGTACGATATAATATCATATTTGTGAAATAACATATTAATCAATAGATTATTGTCATCAATCTACCAATTAATTACTTAAACCATTAATTACTAACCATATATTATAATATAAAGTATAACTCATCTCAATAGTTATTGAAAACTAACTAATTCCCTTGGCTTCAATGCTTGGTTTAACACTTCTTGGATCAAGCTTCTTGACACGTCCTATCCAATAATACAATTAAGCTTTTTTTACTCATTTAATATCTTTTAAGAGATTAATAGTTAACCAAAACACAATATGATAAATCACCTGATCACATATGTTTGCCAAATCCCATTTCATATTCTTAACAATCATTGTTATCTACTTATAACTTGTCTCCATTCCTTATTTCATGAAGACCTAACTTAATCTTACTTCATTTTGTTAATTTTTCACTTAGGGTTTGAAACCCATTTTCTCATAATTAAGATCACCACCACCAAATCATCCATATAAACTCAATAGCATCTTCACTATTTTCATAATAACAATATACAAGAGTTCAAAGCATTTATGTTAAGTTC